GCGGCCTTGATGGAGTTCGAGTCTGACATCCAGGGCTCCAGTAGTTCTTGCCCCGTCTTATTAGCGGCGCGTGTCATTACCCGCGTGCCCGTGAAATCGAATTCGTGATCTTCTTCCAGAGTGTGGGTAGTGGGTCGCCTTTCTGCACTGCCCGGTTGTGCTCCGTTAATCACGAGCTGAGTCGTCGCCCGGTCCCCCCGTATAATGACAGGAACAGTCGCGACATGGCATTTCATAAACGACGCCAGACTGCTCACCTACCTCCAGTCGGTCTTTCATTTGCATGACCCGCGGACGCGGGCCGAGTGGCCAGATTGTAAGCTTTGTTAGGTAACCCTCCCCCTGTCGACCTCTGTATTTTTATATTAATCACTTGATTAAGTCAACCTCTCATATTATCTCCTCTTCTCGTCGGCTTTTCAGAAGTCTTTGGATGGGGACGATTTGTACATCTCTCGGGGCATGGACAGTTTCGGTATGTTGGAGAGTTTTATTTGCCGATAATCCGTTATATTCAAACTACTCCTAAAATATAAGTAGCAAATATTGTATACGTTTGTATTAGGGAGCAGGAAAACGTGCCCTGCCCAGGTGTATCACAATATCCGAATTTATCAGCAAGCGTTGTTCATTTTAATTTCAGACGAAGAAAGTGCCTTTCCCGTCTTCTTCAAACACAGCACCTGCTATGACATCATGCCAAAGAGCGCCAAACTGTTGATTCTGGATTCCACCTTACCGGTAAGCCTTGAACATGCCATACATCTACAACTCTTATCTAATGACCGTTTGAGTGAAGAGAACAGATGGATGAATGATTACATTCAGGACATAGTCATTAAATCTATACAAGGACACTTATAGCTGAAAGCATCTTATTAGAAAGGTAGTAGTGGGATGTGAGTGGATAGACGATTAAGCGTAATTGTCGGCCGCAGTGGAGATGAGAATCGTAGTAAGATAAACGTCAGGGTTAGCAGTTCTGTATCACTGCAGGAACGCTTCCGCTTAAGAACTTTCGACTTACAAGTAAAAATGATCTCAAGTCCAATTTGTGCTTGGTGAGCTCCATTAAGTTTTAGGATAAGGAAAGGCTTGTATCACGCTTAATTATAGATGTAAATTTGAATAGGGTATAGTTCCTTGTAAGATGCTTTTGAGTAGCGTCTCAAAAATAGTTCCATTTAAGAATTGGAGTTTGGAACGTAACTAGTTCATAAGTTGAAGCGTGTCTCGATTGAGATCGCCAATCAGAGTAGTCGTTGAACTTGGACTGTGGTTCTGCACGCGAACGGTTGTTGCCTCTGTCCTAAGCAGAATACATCTTTGCAGCGGTGTTACGTGGACCTCGTGTACTCCAAAGACTGCTCTAAAGATTTTGTTTGTGTTCATACACTGCCCAGGGTGGAGCTCAAATGGTCTTCATTTTTGTTATTCACACCGATAAGTGTTCTCCTACAGAGTGTTGGGGTCGTTTGATCACCACATTGTGTTCCATGGGGACATGTAAATGGGGGAGTAAATGACGGAAGCTCTTAAAAACTCAATTTAAGCGGTATACTTATAACTGAAAAGTAATTAAGTTGTTAAATGTGCACACACCGTTTAATATGCAAAATGTGTAAAATTAAAAAACATACATGTTAAGAAAAATATATGACATACGTGGAATAACAGCGCACAGCACACAATTTCCACCCAGTCAAAGGCTATACAATTTCCACCCAGTCAAAGTTACTGCAAACAAATCCATCTACTGAAATCAAGTAAGTAGTACGTATATATTTTCGGAGTTTTATGTTAAACAGTGAGTTCGGGTCTGCTGTTACCTTGCAGATTCGAAAAGCTATCCAAAGTCTGACCGACCATGTTCTAGACGCAGCGCCTGTCTGGTCCAGCCGGCTTCAAACCTACACTCACCTGCTCACCCAGGATCTCTGCCTTCGCCTTCTGGCTCAAGTCTTCCCAAATGAGAAGTCAGACTCAACAGACGGTGCCCCGCCGTCAGAACGCAACCCTGGAGCCGATATGAGCTATTGGGAAGGCAAAACCCTAGGCAGCGTTTTGAGTAAGTTCCAGTAGGCTATCACGCTTCCTCTTGCTTTTGTTTTCGTTCTTAAAGCCCTAACGGAGTTTGCGGTGCGCCGAGGAAGGCAAAAGTTGCCCGGCCTCCGATATGGTTTTCCTCTGTTTTATCTGGAAATAGAATGTTTATCAGTAATCACAGACAAATAGTTGTCTTTTAAGAAGAAGAATGAGTAGATGTGATCACTGGGAAAATTTTTTATTTGTCTGACATTTGGAAATACGTCAGAGACAATAGGAGAAACGGGTCCGATTTGGTCCGATTATGCTAAGCTCGGCAGCCTCGGTGGGATTCTGACTCGGTACAGGAGACGCAGGGCTTGAATACATCCAACGCTCTTATCACCTGAGCTACGAGGACCCCGTCGGGAGCCGTCAGTTTAATCTCATTTGAGTCACGTTCTCTACCTCTCCCTCCCGGCCTACTACGGATTCCTTCAATTCTAATAGAGTTAACTGACTGACTACGCGGGATTTCCTAGGCAGTGAATTTAGAATCCGCTGGATGATTACCAGGCTCACTTACTAGATGTGCTCTTTTTGGCAGATTTGAAGAATTACTTTGAGGCGTACAGGAATAATTTGGCTGCTTCGGTGGGATTCGAACCCACGTCAAGCAGTAGGTCGGGCGGCTAACTTGACATAAATTAAATTAAATTCACCGCTCCCCCCCCTGAAGCCCCGTAGCTTAGATTGTTGAAGCGTTGGTTGAACTCAAGCTACGTGGGTTCGAACCCCATCGAAGCCACCGGTTTTTTTTCAGAGTTGCATCAAGTAAATTATTCCACTCTGCCAAATCACCGATTACTCTCCTTTTACTTTTTTCCATCTGTTCAGTATATTTGAAGTAAACGACAGAAGTCCTTAAAAATTTCTTTTAAACGATAAATGTATGTAACCTTTCAGTAAATTCGCATCACGTCATTACCTTTATATGGGAAAGGGGGTCAAATTTAAACATGCGGTCAGTTGCGTTTTTCGTCACATGCAACTTGATTTAAGTTGACCCAATTGGGAAAAACTCGCGGCGTTCGGCGGGATTTGAACCCGCATAGGCCTTAACGCGAAGCCAATGTTCTACCAGTTGAGCTGCAAACGCCACGCCCTGCGCCGTGAATTTAATCACATTTGGATCGATTTATCCGCCCAACTTTACTGCTCGTATGGAATCCACCAATCCGGAACAGCAAGCTGACTACCCAAGCAGAATTTCCTAAACAGTCACCTAGCATCCAGCAGAATGACTACTAGGCTGACTTGTTATTAAGGATATTTAGCAGATTTGCTTAATTTAAGTTGACCCAATTGTGAAAAGGTGGGGCGTTTGTAATTCAACTGGTAGAGCATTGGCTTCACGTTAAGGCCTTCCCTACTATGCGGGTTCAAATCCCGCCAAACTCCGCGAGTTTTTTTCACAATTGGGTCAACTTAAATGAAGCAAACCTGCAAAATCTCCTTAACAACGTGCATATTAGACATGGGAATAGGGAAGAGGGTTTATAATAGGCTGCTAGTTACGCGACAGTGATAGTTTTTTGAAGCCGGACCAGAGGTTGGAGAGAGAGGAAGCGCAGAAGCGTTGACCATGCCAAGCTCGGAGCTTGCAGGAGGTTCTTTTTCGGGCACAAGAGTGGCTTCCTCAACCTCATAGCGATGGTTTCCGCCGCTGCTAGCAAACGCTGGCCCAGGAAATAGGGGTGGTTTGTTGGAACCATACAAATCGTTTGGAAGTCTTCGTAGTAGTAGTAGTAGTAGTAGTAGTAGTAGTGGTACTAGTAGTATAGTTATACTTCCCAAACGGATTTATTCTAGTAGCCTTAGCGTTCAGCAAAGTTTCTGGTACTGCTTTATTAAGTCGATGACTCTGAGGTGATGGCGATCTTTACCTTGTTCCAACATGTTGTACTCGGCCAATTTAGAAACCTACAACTCCTGGGCCCGCACGGAGGACGTCTGTCTCCAAGTGGAGACGCCCTGCGTAGTCACCCCGCAGCAACACCTTCACCGGGTGGCCCAACTTCTGAGCGTCGGCGTGCCGATGATAAGACGCTCACACTCCACCTCAACCGCCAGCAAGGAGTCCACGCAGACGCCAACAACAACAGAGAACTCT